CTGACATTTGAGAATCCTGTATTTTGACAGAACTCAATATGACTCAAGAGAAGTGGCCTGAAAACCAGGCATTTCTGTGACCTAATATCATAATTACAGAAAGAATACAGAATAATGAACCCCATGGGCTCTGCAAAAATGCAAGAGAAATCATTAAAATGGCTGACCCCGCCCCTCTAACACACTCCTATCACTTACCAGGGCTTTGTTATGGGAGTGTGGATGGAACCATGGGGGGTACACTGGCCTTCATGTCCATCTGTACTTTGCTCCCTTTGGCCTGGGGATAACACACACTCACCTGGGGGGTTCCAGAGTACTCCTGAGGGAGAGCCTCTACTCTGCAATACCTGTAGAGAAAATAAGACATGGCCAATGCATGCACCCACTCTGGGTACAGAAACAGTGTTTAGTTTTGCAGATAAAGTTATGCTCCACAGTGCAAATGGATTTTCTCTCTTCCTTTTTTCAAGCATTTAACTATTTTTATATTGAACTGATGTGAAATTACATGAGCTTGGATAATGTGAATAATGCATGAGATTTAAGACAAACACATGAAAGGAGCTTATTTTTCATGTCAAACAAGTCTTTATTTTTTTATGGTACAAATTAAAAGTGACAGATCTGAAGCTGTTAAGAAATACACAAAGTGCAGCTTTACTGACCATACAGATATTGCTCTAGATTAAGTACAGTTTTTGTCAGTTTTTTATTTTTTATTTTTTTCATGTTAAGCAACCTGTGCAGATAAATCAGCTTTGGTTTCAAAGTCAGAGTAGTAAGGAGCTTTTAAATATCCAGTTTGTTTTCTTGGTCACAAGTCCACCATATCCACTCCTTTTTTATTTATTCATAGTTTTAAACAACACAACACAGTCCATTTTGTACTGCCATCTTTCCCCCTGCATGCTCCATGCATGGAAAAACAGATCTCTTTGCAGTGCTTCGTAAGTGACCCTGGTGACCATTCTGTAGATTATAGCACATAGGACAAAAATAATAATAATAGTAATAATAATAATTAATAATAATAATAGTAATAATATCACTTTTTAACAATAAATAAACAAATGTGCCCCACATAGTCTCAAGTTGGAAACAAGCAAACCACATGACAAAAAGCTCATTACAAAATGTCTTCCAAACAGATTTTACAGTCAAATATTGACATGGAAATCAATTTCCTCTCTTATCTTCTTATTTGAATGTTGGTCAATAACTGGGTACAAGTAGAGTGCTGAGGTAAAACACTGATGAACAGTTTTATTTTTGTATTTTTTAAAATAGTAACAGTTTAGTATTGCGAGATTGTCAGCAACATTTAGCCATATCTATACAATGTGCATATACCTACAAACATTGAGCTTTGGTCCAGCATTGAGAAGACGAGCAAAGGCATTTTACATATTTCTTTTTGGTTATAGCTTGAGTTCTTTGATACGCCTCTACTTGTTCCTTCCTAGCTCCTTTTTGCTTCCTTGTTTTCTCTCTTTTTTCTTTTTTTTTCTCTTTTTTTTTTCTTTTTTGGCTTTTTTAAAATTTTTTTCAGTAATAATGTAAAGAAATTGGAACCATTTGAATGCATTTGATTTCTTCAACTGTCCAAAATAGCTTTTTAGTGAAAAACATAAAAAGACAAAATTAGAAGAGTAAGTGAACCCTTGGTTCATTATTCAAATAATATTATATATATATTTATATATATATATATGTATTTTAAAAAAATGAATTATCAACAAAGTGGAAAACCATTAAACCTTAACATATGACCAAAGAGACTTTTGTTTCATTTGCTGGTAGCAACCTATCTTTAAGTCACATGCAAAATTAAAAGGTATTCAAATGTTATCAATACATGAAAATTGTTTACAAATGGGAACCAGAAATGTTGCCAGTAACATAACAAAACAAAATACTTACGGCCCTCTCAAAGATGTATGATTCACATTTAATTTATCTTCCTAAGAATCTGTTCAGGCACCATTTATGCCTCATAGCAAAAATTTGTGTATAAAAAAATTAATATGAGAAGCATTACAACACTTTATAAATAATTTACAAAACATAATACAAAATTAGAAAACTGTAAAAAAAATCACTGCACATGAATGATTTTAAGACTGTGGGATGAATATTATTTTTTCTTCCATGCTGGCAATTTATATTTATTTTACATTTTCACTGTCCTAGTTATATCCTTCCGATATGTACTTTGGAACAGAAAAGAGCTTATATAACTGCTGCCAGCATATTTTTAAACATTTAGTATCTTTCATACAGTGTTTAGTTAACTTTTTTTTTCTTGGAGCATTTTTCTTCACAGAATTTAGAGCAGTCCCTGGGAGAATTAGAAATTTAGTTTTGAGGCAATGAATGGCTGATGGTTTTGTTCCCAGGCTGTTGATGGTGGGGATGGAGTGGGGGAGGGTATGGCCTTAAGGATGACTGAACATGTAATTGTGTACGTGGCATTAATGACTGGGCAATTAGGAGTGTTCAGGAGACATGGGTAGGATTTCAGGAGTAACTGCTTCCAAATATGATTTATTCATCCTTGCTTTCCTGTTGGCTTCTGGATGGTGGTCTGATCGTTATGTAGATTGAACCGTGGTGGCAATTTCAGAGCTGTTTGGTATAGACTACACAGATGTTTCTGAGGATATAGGTATCTATGGAGAGAGAGGGTATAAAAAAAACCTAGAGGGGCAGATGTTGCTGTGAGACTCTCTAATTTACATGCTCATCTTGGATAAAGCATCTATTTTGTCCCTCTCAATTTCCCAGTGGTTACTGAGGTGTTTTTTCTCCAGCAGTTATTTATATATCAACAGTTGAAAAAGAGTTGATAACAATTGTCACTCTCCTCCTCATAAAAGCAAGACTGAAAATATCCTAAACATACCCTGCTGAAGCATAAAGTCTAAAATACATTTGCTGGACATGAGTTCATCCTGGAGTACTGAATCCTCAGTGTGCTCCAACACTGACCTCTGAGAGTGCTCACATTTAGAAGCAGCTTCTGGCCCAGATGATGGTCTCTGAAATCTTAAAGCTCCACCAACCATGCAATAAATACCCCACTTTACAAGGCAAATTCCATTATTAAAATACAGAGGGCCAGATTCAAAGCATAGTGAAATCAATGAAAGTCTATTTCTTTCACTAGGTTTTGGATATAGCCTGGAGTTTTTGAAAACTCTTTAGTAATAGAGGTGTTATTTGAAGACTCCAGCACTTCAGAAACTTCTTTCCACATCCTAGGCAGACCACCAAAAATCCAGCACAACCATTCTGAGGTCAAGGAATGCTATCAGGAGTTATACCAGCAGAATTTTACCATCTCTACAGTGAGCTGAACCAATTATCTGATGTTATCTTTTGGGAAGACCTGATCAAGATGCAGCTTCTACCCTAATGGTAGACTGAATCCCAAAGGCTTGAGCATAACTGAGCAGAAGATGAAGATTGCAGACGACCTTCACAGGACTGACCACACCCCATCAAGAACCTGCAACACCTTTCTCTGCCTCTGAGCCTTGGTATGCTTGTAGGTCCAATGACCACAGTATTTTAGTAGATGCTTGTCTAATCAGAAAGGAAGTCACAGAGATAAACTGTCTTTAAAGAAAAATCAGTTCACCTGAATCATACTGCAGGTGATCTACCTTATATTATCAAAAGACATTCAGTGTTTTTTCTCCATGTCCCAATTACTTAGTCTAGCCAGTGGCCACCACAAGCACCTGCAGAAGCACATCCTCCTATTAAAGAAGTCAACAGGGCAAGCATAAATATGGCATTAAAAAAAGCCAGAAGGAACAAAACACTACCATCAAAATTGTCCATAGTGATGTAATGATCAAAACATCCTCATCACTTCTCAGCCTGTCCATTTGTTTTCATCAGAACCTCAAGAAATTTCTTTGGCTAGCAGGCTTTGGAGAGAAATTGCTTCAAATGGAACCATAATATAGATGCAGTACTGTACCAAGTGTGCAGTTTATATTTATACTACAAAATTAGTTTTGGTAACCTCTCCAGGTTCACGGCCTAAGGACAGAGAAATCTCAAGCTACACATTCAACAAAAAGCACAATGTTTAGTGTGGGCTTGAAAGTCTGTCAGATATAATCCTAATCCTTCTTTGTCCTCATTGCATTCCAGCATATAAAAGTGTTCAGATTTCACTTTTCTTTTTGAAATTCTTCAAACAGTACTGGGTTTGGGTGGCTTGGGGAAGGGGTGGGGAATGAGCTGGAAGGGAGGAGGCAGCAAATAGAATCAGGAAAAAAACCAGAAAAATAAATGCAAATCAAGACATACACTCTCAGAGGAGAAATACCAAACCCCACAAATCACAATAAAAAGTACTTATTTTTGGCACCCAAACATTAGGAGATTGCAAAACTGTTGACTAAAAGAAAAGAAAGTGAGGTGACTACTATGGAATGGCTTTGTACACACCTGCAGGGGGTACAAACAAGGATGAGAGAAATTAATCCTGTATTCCTCTTTGCAAAATACAAATGTAAAAATTTGTAACACAATTTTATGCTCATAAAAGAGTAGACTAACAATCTAGTTTGCAATGCCATGTTTCTGACTTTGGTTAATAGATTTCATAGTGAATTAGCACTTGATACCTGAAAGGTTACAATCACTCCTCCAGGTGGCAGGCTTGTATTCTCTTTTAAACAGATAATATTTTTTTTTTCTTTCCTTGTGTTTTTTTGGTTTTTTTTTTGTTGCTGTTTGTTTTGTTTTTCCTTAAAATGTGTTAATATTTTCATAATATACAGAAAAAATTAAGTAGTTATTTGGTTTACTTTAAGTCCATTTAAAAAAACTGGCTTTTTCGGTTTTTTGGGGAACTAATTCTACCACATACACTCTAAGTGTTGTGTATTTTTTTTTTTTGTTTAAAGTTTTTTTTTTTTAAATAGGAAAACCCACGGACATTTATAAACTGTTCTGTCCTTCTTGTAGTTTTCTCAGTCTTTTACTTACAAGGGTGATGAATAGGTATTTTCACAAAGTTGAAATGGACACATTTCACTTGGTGTGGTTTTTTTTTTTCTGTGTGATTTGGCTTTTTTTGTTTTGCTCTTAGGAGTTTTCTTCCAGAGAGTCTGTTAAAGGCTCCATAGGAACTGCTGTTGCAGGCTCGTGTTGTTTCAAACGTTTAATTGTGTTCTTCAGTGCTTGCCTCTTATTGCAGAACCAAACTCTAACTACTTCCCGGTCATAGTTCAGTTTCTCTGCAATCTCTGTCATTTCCTGCCCAGAGGGATGCGTGTTCTTCTCAAAGTGGGCATTCAAGATTTCAAGGGCTTGTGGCGTGAATGAGGTACGCCGCTTGCGCTTTTTGGATGGTTCGCTCCCAATAAACTCGGTAAGGTTCTGCATCCCTGCTCGATGGCGGGCCTCAGCCTCAGCCATCCACCGCTCAAGCACCGGCTTTATCTTCTGGGCACTTTTAGGGGTGATGTCCAGCTTTTCAAACCTGGCAGGATACAAAAGGCCAGGGTTCAGTTTGGCTGTCAGACTGCTAGCTATAGTGTTCTCTTGGGCTTCCTGTGGTAGGAAAAAGTGGCTTCTCAGGATGGTGTGTCTGAGGGAAAATTGAGAAAGAAGAGTCTTACACTGATGCTCTGCCAGGGTGGGACTTCCTGCCTGCCTGACTAATTGACTGGCAGAGGTAATTTACAGTAGATTATGAAAACTGTCAGATAGGTATATCTATACATAGATATAGATAGATATATATAGCTAGAGATTTAAGCTAACACAAAATGAGCACTACAACAAAATTCTAAGTACACTAAATAATACAGGTTAAGAATCACATTTTCATATTTCTGATAATCTTCAAAACCCTTGAGACTAAGTCTAATTACAGGAAATGATATCAAAGGCATTGCTTTTATCATCTTGTCTTTGTGCTTAATCCTTTTGTTATCTCTCCCATCCCATGTTATCCAAACACCACAGCTTTAATAAGAAAACCAATGGCAAATACTCATCTCTGAATATCAGGTTTCCTTTCCATTTTTCAGCAATTTTCACTGTTTGTAAGTTAATGCTATATCCCTTTTCTGGGTTGGAAAAAAAATTCCCATAGCCATGGTGGTGTTCAGCTGAAACAGCTGGACACTTTGCAATTATCTTGCTGTCCCCACAATGTGCAAAGACAGACTCATGTTTTCCAGATGAAATCCAGCATAACAGTCCACTAATATGCTGTGGCACCAAGCTGAGTTTATTGTGGGATTTCTGCAAACTGTACCAGAATGATATCATTTCCTGTAAATGAGGTCTTCTATATATCATTTTGCCATCAAAAGTCTTTTGCCAAACCAGATTTTACAAGTATTATAAAACATCTGGAAAAGCAGCCACACAAAGCTTTAATCCTTTCAAAAACAAGCAGAAGAGCAGAGTTCATGTTTCAAGTCCTATAAGTATTTGTTTCTTTCATTTACGGAATTTATCCTCTTTTGCTATTAAAAAAGTCTTAATCCAATTTCTTTGGTGCCATCCATTTGTATTTTCCCACTTTGCTCTGTCCACTCTGCATGTTGAGGTATTTAATGCTGCAGAAAGGCAACAATTACTGGATGTCGCTGCTGTGCTCTCCAGCCCAGGTGCTTCAGCACCACCACCACCACTAACCACAGAGTGCTCTGGAGATTAGAGGAACTGAATCAATCCCTTTATGCCAAGAAACTTGATGGCTGGAGCTGGACATTTTTAGTGTCTCCATTCAGCACATGGAGGCAGCAAAAAATATTCCAGCATGAAACAAAGCACTTCTCACAAACAAAGAATAAGACAAAGAATAATTTCAGATAATGGTACTCCAAAGACTTTGTAACTGGTGCCTGACATTTTAATGTGATATTGACTGCAAGGTGTCATTCCTTGGTATCTGGTGATATTTCAGGCTGAAGAATATATTTTAGAATGTATTGTCTTAAATTAAAGGAAATACTGCTATTTGCATGCAGAACATATCAAGGTGGTATATTGCTCTTATGACCTGCATAGGCCACCAGAAGATTCTACTTTTCTCTTCGAGCTGGTTGTTCAAACTGGTTGCCTTATTGCCCCTTCCACTGACCTGGAGTTCATACTGAAACTCCTTTGTTACAACTGAAAAAAAATTGAAATCTACTATTTCTGAGGAATACATGGTGCTACTGAAGCAGGTTAACGAAAAATGCACAGTCATAGCATGTAATTACACCCCAAAATGGTGTCCATCTAAGGCGGGCAAAGGAAATTAAAAAATGTCTGTAACCTTGCAAGTATTTGGGACAAGCTCTTGCACCCAATCTCAAGTTCTGAGCAACTTGCTCCTCCAAGGAGCCCTCTTTAAAAGGTCTCACCATGCCCAGTGCTTTCTCAAAGTGTCAGATAGATGGAGAAAATGAGAAGACAGTAAACTAGGTAAAAGTAAAGGAAACAGCAATGTGTTCCTTCAAAGTATACCATGCTAAACAGCAACTTAAGACTACAAAAAAATTCCAGTTGCTAAAAACTCCACCAATTTTAGGCATTCTTTACCAACTGACCACAAAGAAATAAAAAACAAAACAAAACAAAATCAAAATTAATCCTTAGCAATAGGGAGCAATAGCATTCATATCATTGGCATTGTTTGTTAGCGTTGTTACTGCAGGACATGTTTGGTATAACGACATACAAGTCTTGAAACAAATTTCCCAGCAGTAGTATCTTTGTATAGACTGAATAAAGGTTATTTTCAACAGGGAGGTATCTTATAAGAAAAAACAGTAGGGGAGACCATAGAAGTGAGAGGATCCTATGGAGCTTTTTGTATTTAACAACAATCAATGGGTTTTATGGAAAATCATTGAGCAAAATGTGAGCTGCAAGCACACTACCCCATACTGATGTCATTTATAACCTTAGTCTTTAACTGCAGGAAAAGTACACTTCCATTCTATGGGGAATACATTAAAAGTATAAAGAGCAGATAAAAAGACAGAGCATTTCATGGATCACCAAGAACAAAATCCACTTAAATGAGCTTAGAGTTGGTTTCTTGGCTTTCACTGATGGAGGACTATAAGGCATTGCCCAAGAGGAAAAAGCTGTTACCTAAGTGTGTTTGTTACCTCATGCATAAACATAGGATTACTGTAATAGACATACATGCATATAAGGTGTTTGCTTCTACTTTAACTCTGTCAAGACTGTATTATTATTTCTTATGATTAGGACAAATTTCTGCTTTGCATACATGGGTTTGTCTTAGTTTTTTTCAGTAAATATTTGGGTGGTAAAAGATGAATAGCTGCTGGTTTGCAAGATAGCAGGAAAGCTATTTTTTCCCCTTCTGTGTTGCCTAGGTAAATCATCATTAACATCCTCTATGTGAAGTGCTAACCACAGTAATACAGGTTTAACTTAGCAGGGATGCAGCCATGAAATATTTGTTCAGTAACCCTATCTGTAGAAAATGGCACAGTATGAAGAGGGTCAGCTGGTGCTTATTGAGCATCAGCAGGATCTCCAACTCATCCATGGAATTAAGTCTCTATGCCAGGAACATTGTTTCTCACTTGTTTAGAAAATGAGGGAAGAAAGTGACCAAAATCACTCTAAATAGACACAGTAAGAACAATTTATATGTCAGATAACAACATTTAAATATCAGGTTAAATAATACACTCTAACGTTATGAGACTCAAACACAAGCATGCTCCTCACAATAAGCTGGATCATTATTAAGGACAAAGAAAGAAGAGGAGCTATGATGTAACTTGTTACCTGCAGATGGCAGACTGGCTATAGGCTGGGCCTTCGGTGGCGCTCAGGGCTTGGCCAACTTGAGTCTGTGTCAGGCCAAGGGACAGGCGCCGGATTTTAAAAGCTTTGGCAAATTCTCGTATTTCTTCCAGATTTACCCCATCCACTTCTCCAGTGGCTGTCTGAGGATCTGTTGAGATATTTTATAATCATGTCAGTTCTTTGCATCACATATCAGTGGGACAGGCTTACAGCCATTTTCATTGCCAAAACTTTCAAGTTCAATTTTTTTAATACTGTCCCTTTCTCTTCTTCCCCAAACAGAAGCAGACTTGCCTTGTCAGGTGTGTTCAGATTGCTAAGATGCCGACTGGGCTGCAGTTGTCTGCAGGTGGAAGACTTCCAAAGATATGCCTTTGCTGAACTCCTGACAAAGGCCAGCTCACCTTTGAGGGAGAGTATGCCTGGATTCCTTGCTACCACTTATGCCTTGCAAAGTCTTCTCTGGACTGAGGAGTCACATTCCCCGTTTTCCCTTTTTATCACATAGCTTGATGGCTGGTGTTAGTAAATTTAGTTCCAGTCTGTGGGGAGGGCTATATATACTATGAGCTGCTTGGATTTTTAACTTGAAATCAAGTCTTTGTAGTTTATCTAAAGTTAATGCCAAATAAGAAGATTCACAACTATTTCTTCCCTTTTACACAATACCCAACCTAAACTGCTGCATGAATGTCCAAAATAACCCAGCAAGTGAACAAGTCTAAAATAATTCTGCCTTGAAAACCTCCCTAATTTATTAATTGTCTTTTAAAATATGCCCTTCTGAGAAGCAGCCTTTCAAGCATTTTTTTCTGCCTCCCATCAGGTTGATAATCAAGGAGCAGCAACACTGGTTTTGGATGGTAATGCTGCACAGTTTTTTCACTTTTACATTAGCCCCTCAGAAGATAATGCTTATGATGCTGTGAGAATAAATATGTCCTTCCTTTCTATAGCAGTTTACTGACACAGAAGCCTTTGTCCCTGAAAGGGCACATAATAAAGCATGTCTACCACAGAAAAGCTCCTTTGGAGCTGGATAACTCGGTCAATTTAGGACTTATCAAGGGAAATGACACAACAGCTGGAGAATGGAACTTCCACCCCCCACCCCCTCCCAAGCTACTGATCCCTGACTAAATGAAAGTGTTTGCCAAGTCAGAGACAGCATGGGACTGGGATGGTAGAAGATTTCAAAGTGTTGTGCAATCCTGCATGTAGTGAAGCCATTCTCCCAGTGAGACATCTCTATTGTTCTCCACCTCATTCCTCAGACTCCGAGGTGAAAAGTTTGCAGTACAATAACCCCTCAATTTCTGTAAATGCAAGCAGTTGTCCAAGGACAGTGCTAGACTACATTACCATTCTGAACCTTTTATGAGAATGGCTCCTGCTAGTATGGCTCTATTGAGGGCTTATCAGCATTGCAGTAGCAAAGCTTTTATTTTCAGGGGTTTATAAACCTGGTGTAAAATTTCCTAGTGATGGAAACATCCTATGAAAAAATCCTTTTGTCCAGTAATAGACAGAGGGAAAAGGGTTTTCTGGCATATAAATTTACTCTGTTGCTTGAGTGTAAGAAGCACAAATGGCAAAAATCTTTTTAAAATTCTGTGCAACCAGGGACCACACGAACTATGCATACAGATAAACATGCACATAGGCTGAGCCTTGTTTCAACGATACTCCACACTCAGAATCATCTCTGCTCTTCTCACTGCTGTACTAGTGGTCACCTGCACACCCATGCACTCAGTCAGTACAAAGCTAGGGTGCATATTGTTTGATTTAGGAGTAAATGCTGTGACAGTGGCCACTGAAGTTTATAAAGTAATTGCATGGAATTTTTTTAATATATTATAAAGAAGCATGGAATTTTCCTGCTTACACCATCTCGTCTACCTAGCATATCAGTTCTGAATTTCAGAGACACAGAATGGAGCTGCAGACTTATCTGACTTTAGGTCTCTATACTAAATATCATAAATGATACTGGCCTCAAAAACTCCCCTGAGCAAAGTACACTAAAATGGTGACTTTCCTCACCTCTTTCCTTCTGTTAATTTAAGGCCTCTGACTAAGGCTGTTAGGAATGTAAAAAAGGACAATTCAGGTGTTGCCAGAGAACTTCCAAAGTAGCAAACTATGGCACCTGTAATCCTCCCCAACTCCTGTTAGAAATAAAAAGGGAAGTGAGAAAATGAATTGTAGAGAAATTATAGAGAAATTATAGAGAAATTCTGCCAAGTTCTGCTGCATCTAGAATGATCTGGCATTGTTGCAACAGTGAGCATCATGGAAAGACTGTTCCTGCCTGCGGCACTTGGATGAGGGTAGTATTAGGCTGAGCTCTCCTTGAGATGAGAAAAAATCTGTGATGCCCTTCAGTAATATGGGAGTAGAATATAGTATACAGTGGAATATCTGTTGAGAAAAAGGCTTCATTCTTTCATAGCATCTTTGGCAACAGGAAAGTACTAACAGATGGACTGAAACACTGAAATGTTTTATCTTGAACTCTAGGGAAAATAGCATTTGTGTGAAATTGGAACCACTTCTACTTTGGGCGTGATTCAAAGCCCTTTGAAATCCATGGATCTTGTCTTCTGTCATCTCCCTAAAACACAAATAGAGCTAGGAAGATCATTCTATTGGCACCATCATTTGTCTGTTTTACACTATTGCATTTAACTGCCATCAATACAGTCTTAGACTGTGTGGTCTAAATATGCATATTCATAAACATATTCAAGGAGATTATGGACTTTGTTTTAACATGTTCTGAGCTTTCAAAACAGTTGAACATATAGCGCCCTTCACATTTTAGGAAGAGTAGCTTATTGAAGAGAGTAAATAAACTGGCTCTTTTCCAATTATGTGGATATCCCAGGGAAGGCTGCCCAGTGACAACAGGTAAATAGAGAATGCCAAACCCATTGAGTGTTTGGGATCTACAGTAATGGATTTCAAGACTCCCATGTTTACATTATTGCCTGAGAAAACAGTGGCTGCCTATGAAACTACTGGGTGCTGGAGAAAGGTCACAGGGTTGTCTTGGACCATTTCAGAGGATATGGGTGCATATAACAAAAAGGAAGACAGCTAAAATTCCACCAGTCATCCTGGTGGATGGGGAAGACAGATGAGCAGTATGGAAGAAATTAAATTCACAGGCTCTCCTGCACAGAAATCTGTTTTTCCTGCTGAAGGGAATACTTCTCCCACCTTTGAATTCTTCTGAAAATCCTGCATGAGTTTGTTGTTGAGTGAAAATATGCTGTGACTTTAATAGTTTGGGGAAAGAGCTGCTACAGAGAAATCAGTGCACCCTTAAGGAGAAACCAAATTTCTGTTGCACAGAGTTCTGCCATGGGAGGGATTACAGGGGGATGATTTCCCCAGTCAGAGAGGAGGAGAAATAGCTGGCTGAGGAGGTCCAATGGAAAGTAAATTGGATAAGAAAGGCAGGACAAAACATTGATAATGGAAAATGGAGTAGAGCTCAGGGGGAAAAAAAAGAATAATAATTTGTTTATGGGAGGCATTTTAATTTCACAGTAACAGATGACAGTAAAATGAATTTGGGAGGAAGAAAGGAACTTCATGGAAACACAAGTCTCAGAGCACAAGGGGAAACCAGTGATTTCCACAAAGAGAACATATGGTGGAAAAGTTAAAGAAATGAGCAGAGGGATGCATTTCAGAAGAGGAAAATGAAATGGAAAAAAGGGAGGAATAAAGATATAGAATTGAATGAAGAGAAAATAAAGAAGACAAAAGAGAATACAAATAGGATTAGACAACACAAAGAAATCATACAGAAGGGACAGAAAGAGTAGAGATGAATCTTGCAGTCCTTGCTTAGACAGAACTTATTTTAAAATATTTTTTATTTGGAAATAACTGTTATGTTTTGTCTCCAAAATAATTATCACTTGTTGCCAGTTAAGGATGAAGGGGTGATGATGAGAGAAAAGGGAAAAGCTATGAAGAAGACAATAACATAAAGGGAAAAAAAGGGACAAGAAATAAAAAAAGAAAGAGAAATTAAAAACAAAAGGTAAGGACACTTCTTTGAAATTAAGGAACCTTAAAGAAAAAAAAAGGAAATCATACAGAAAATATTACTAGAATGAAAAGTAAAAGTAATAAACCAAAGGAACATGGAACACTATAGTTAATAGAGTTCTTATGAATTTCTCCTTGTACTTCAATAATTTCTCTGATGTGAAGCAACATCTTGTGAAAGAGTTACTCTCTTTGCAGTCAGTGTGCAGAAGCTTGCTCCAAATAATTATTTGCTGAAGTTTGGATGCTCTATGCAATTCGATTCACAGAACAAGTGGCTAAATGTGACTAGTTTTACATGAACTTTGCTATATTTAGCAATTATTTCTGGAATACAGCAAATCTCTGCCAAGGTACTCAGCTCCAGGACCTCTGCCAGAGGTCTGGACTACAGTTTCATAAGGAATTAGGAAAAGAGAGCAATATTCCTACCTCAGGAGGAATATAGAAATCAAAATTCGATTCAGGAGGCCACAAGTTGTTTCTTGCTGCCCTCATGAGTAATGACTTCTCTCAGAAACACTGACCCATTGCCTGTCTCATCCCACTAAAAGACTTTAAATAGACTTTCAGACACTGCATTTCAATTGTAAGCCTTTCATACAAAGCTTTGCAGCCAGCGTGGGAGCTGGGAGTCTAAGAAGGCCACAGGCATGACAGAGAGGTGGTCCTGCCCTTCAGTAATCTGTACCTGGAAACTGAACAGATTCTGTAAAGAAGTGAAACAAGGATGACTTTCTATCTACATTCAGATGTACAGCCACGGTTTTATGTAAATGGCTTTTCAGTCACATGAAACAATTTTCAAACTCATGAAGGTCATTTAATACTATTTGTCCAAACAGTATCAATCACTGGTTTATCACTGTGAAAGAAAAGCTATAAAGGATCCCATCTGATTTTTCATGTTTCATTACACAGATGGTTTGATCTTTCCTTACTGAACTGACCATATTCTCCACTTTCTTGTAGGCTCTTTCCACATTATACTAGAAGAGAATAGGTAGCTCTCTTGTGCCCTGTAACACCATCCCTGATGTGGCAGCTCAAGCAGGCTTAGGCATGAAGTGCTAGCTCCAGTTTGTGGTGGCTACATGCTCTCAGGAGTATGCTGGACAGCCTTTAGGGATAATTGAGATGACTGGTTTGCTTCTATCTGTGTAAGGTTACTATGTAAATGGCAGAAGCGAGTTGATCTGCCCCTTATGCTATTCATTCTTTTAGTCTTGAACAGCAGAGACTGAATGAAGCTGGAAGCATAAACTCAAAACAGCTCCGCAAGTTTTTGATTTATGTTAACGTGGAATTTTTTTCAGGAGATCCCTATCAGTAATATTTTCTTTTGGAAAATTTGAGTTCCAAGTGCAACTCCTTCAACAATCAGTCTAATTGTATGAAAAGTTTCCTATGCCTGTGGCTCTTTTTGATAGACCACAGTAAAGACATGAAGACTGACTTGATGCTCTTCTTTGTGATCACTTTTCACTGTCTTCTGATGGCTGCTAGGGAAGGTGGAGTGGCATCAGCAGGATTTGGATGCAGAGGGGGCAAAAATTAACCTTTAGTCTAAAGAAAAAAATAATGTAGAAGAAAAAAAATTGACTTGAAGATTATTGAAGAGCAGGGATTAGAATTTGGACTGGAGGGAGAAAGGGCCTGACTGTGCTGAGTACTACTCACTGTGATAGAGGAAAAGAGAAAAGGAAAAAGAGGTGGCACTAGTGATAAAACAATATAAAGGAGGACAGAAACTACCTAATAAAAAGGTTGGTAAAAGGGTACAGATACAGTCTGGAGACAGTGACTGAGTGGGAAATGAAAGGGAAGAGAAGTTGGGACTGTGAGGAAAGGACTGCAGGGAGAAAACTAGAAGAACAATAGCATGGAGGCAAAGGGAGAGTAGGTTGTGTGGAGAACAGTGTAAAGAATTAATGAGACTAGAACAAGACAAGTAGTGGATGGAGTCAAGCCTGAGAGGATCAAGTAAAAGTTCTATGTTCATTAATGTATCTCCCAGTTGCGCCCAAATTGATATTCTTGTGCCTCATACTCTACTCTCAGCCAAATCCATAAGCACAGCATGCTTATTTCAGAGCTGAACCAACAAGATGATAACAGAACTATCAGCTTTTCCATTCATTCAACACATCTCCTATTTCCAACTATGAACATAAAGATTATGTCACCATATGACTGATTTATGTTACTATTCTGCTTTTGAAACAACCTTGAAATTTATCTATGCAAAAAATGAAGCTAAAAGAATGTCCTTAGAGCTGCACAAATTAACACTCAGAAGTTACAAAGTGCTGGAGTTACAGGAGTCCACAACACAATGAACCATAGTCTTTGAGCCCTGGATTATCAGTTCTTTTTCATGTGCCTCGTTCAGTGCACAGGATGAACTGTCCTTCATTACAGATGAACTGATTGATGTATTGCCTTTTTACTTGTTCAGTGTGTGGCCCCAGACCTCTATTAAAGCTCTTCACTAAAGACATCTCCTCTTGAGCTCTTCTGGTTTCTTTAAAATCTTAATTTATTTTCTTGTGTTTCTACAAGGTGAGGGTCTTCCCCTTCTCATTCACAGAGAAGTGGACAGATATTGAGAGAAGAAGCAGTTTTGGCTACCCAGACTAGGTCAAGTAGGAAATGATTTTTTAGACTGTCTGTAAATGGTTCTTGATACAGGATGAAAGTGCACTTAAAATTGCAACTATGTTCTTCTGTAAATTAAAGTCCGGAGTCTCAAGCTGGATATTGAGGGAGCACTTGTGAAAAATCTCTTTTAAGTGATTTGCCTGCCTTGCACTGGAATTACACAGCAGACAGAAGGCTTCAGCTCCTCAGTCCTCTATTGCCTCAGGCAAGACCATCCTTCACTCCTCTATAGCTTCCTACCTCAAATGTTATGCAAACTGAGGAAGAGATTAGTGATTCAGGTAAACCCTGGGCCAAAAGCCCACCTGTTGTGTTAGTAATTCTGATACATCCCTAGGACAATTCTACTCGGAATGCACTGAAAGAAGGATGAGAAAAAAAAAAGATGGTTGCATGATTTTAATCACAACAATATATTGTTATAATTAAATACATATTCTAAGAGGAATTGCCTACAGTTGAACAAACAGCTGTTTTTCAAGTATTTTCTAACTTTGGATGGATTTATCCTGTAATCTTAAGAGGGCTTCTTCCATGTTGCATTTATTTTACATAAGAATGTCCAAAAGAGGAGCTATTCTAGACTAGCTATTGAAAAATAACTCTGCATCAGCTACTTTACTCAATTTGCCCACATGGACTAGAGGTAAATTCAATGTATTTGTAGTGTAAACCCTCTTCTTTGTCTTCCTTCTACAAGCATGTCTATGTGAGAAAATTTACTAGTGACAATGCAATAGCATTATAATTATATCTGTATCTATATGCAGATATTTTCATTCCAGAACAAAAGTATTCCCACTGGGAGTTACATCAGCATAATTTTACCACTATAGCTCTACTAGTAATTTCCCCATGTAAATGATCTCTGAAATAATCCAACCATGATTTTTTCTTGCATAACACATCTTCCCTTGCATAACAGTTTCTCCAAGCCCTTCATAAGCTTGTATCAGACACATATTTTTCACTACCAATATGGCACAAGCTATAGTGTTTGATTACTTAGAATATGTACATGGAGTATCATAGAACAAGGTCATACAATCAATTGGATTTTTGCAGAAACTGTTAGTGCTTCTTATGCATACTGTCAACCTGTGGTTTTTGCTATGTAAAGACCAAGTTAATGCTGATAGGTAATAGCAAAGACTCTCAACAGTGCAATCTGGAAGAAAGTGCTGTTCAGGTCAGCTGTTCTAATTCTAACACTGGAACTCAGTTATTTCACTGCAGTGTGCTTCTCCCTTCTCCCCAGTGTGTTCCAGTTCATTCTTGTTTAAGTGTTGAGAGCTTTTTCTGGCAAGAAAATCTCTCACTCTGGATTTGTGCACTATTAGGGTTTGTAAAATGGTTTGCTATATCAACCAAGCAGCTTAACCAAAAGTAGGAGTACCTGTTTGCCAACCAAATTCCGAGAAATGTATTTCATTATATTGACTGATTCAAAAGCTTCTAACTTCCAAAAAACATAAACTACTTTTCAGTTATAACAATTGTCCTCATGAGTCAATTAATGGCTACTGCCATTTTTATGACCATTTTCAACACTGCTTAAATTTCTCAAGGCATGTTTACCTTAAGCCCCATCCATGCTAACACTTAGTAATTCTCACTGGTGAGAGTCAACTATTTTGCAATATACAATCTACTATATTCAAAAAAAACCAAAAGGAGGGAAAGCAGATTCGAAAACTCAGCAGTGAGGAGAACAAACAGAAGGGAGAATTCAGGAGAGCCAGGGAGCAATACTTACTGCTGACTAACTGGCCAACACTCAAAGCTGAAGAGGAGGAGGATGAGGAGGAAGAAGAGGAAGCCTGACGCACTGGGCTTTGAGACATAGATGCTTGACTGTGAGCCAAATGCAGGAGATTGGATTGTGAAGCTGCTTGTCCCACTTGCGTCTGGGAAGGCTGATGGAGCTACATGTTAAAATGTAAAAATAGGTATTTAGAAAGTGAAGCAATAATAGGAAACTTGCAATGCACCATCTCACCCATCTACTTCTGGGGAACAAATCACATAGGAGCATTAAACACCATGGGCTTTATTCAAGTGACAATGTTGCAGGAGAAATCTGAGCTGCTTAGAATATTTTCTAATTAGAAGGTAAATACTTTTTTTGTAATGGGTGATAAGAGACCTATGACATTACATAAGGATTCTGATTTATTAAATACATATCCTTACCTGTTTTCTGACTCATGAAACCAAACTTTTATTCCCTACATGGATTCTTATAGAAATCAGGATTGTTTCACAGAGGTCCTTTCATATTACAGGACCAGGGCCAAGAAGAATGGGAATGGGAAAGAGGATATAAACTGAGCAAAAATCCCTTTCCTACAGGAATCAGTGATTTGTTTTATGACATCATAGCTGCCAAACAAACAAAAATCATGGGAACAGATAAGTTGTCTTTGACTAAAACACACACAAAAATTTCTGAGCTCTATCCACATCAAGACTACATCCAGTATGACATATGTGAAAAGTTTAGTAAGTATGGTAGATGAAAATGATACATGAATTGACTTTCTAAATTTTTTAAACAAATATTACAAGACTGTAGTCTTTGTTTGTTTACTAGGGGAATACAGCAGTCCATTCTGCCTATAATATGTTTTCATGTGGCATTGAAATCTAGGAACATTCTCTGGTACTGATTTTCACATAAAACTCTCAGAAAATTTGAAGGGCAGTCTCTCTACAAAATGAAGGCACACAATGGACTTTACAGTTTTGAATTGAATTCTAGTAGTCCAGTACAATCTTTTCAGAGCATAAGAATACCGTAATACAGGTCTGATACACTCTAGTGACTGCTGCTTATTATACCTTTATTTTATGTTATTCTTGATATTGATCAAAAAAGATCATAAAAATATTCTAAAAAGGCTTCACTTCACTGCAGCTGTTATCTGCATTTTCTACAAGGAAAAAGATAAAGGCCTATGTGGCCTTGCTTGAAGTCAGTAATTAAAATCTATTTCTTGAATGCTAAGGAGTATGAGGTTTTCTCTTTTGATATCTAACTGAAAAAATGACTTTAGAAAAGGAGCTACATTCATTAGTGACACTCAAATTATATGTATTATCCTCCCAGCACACATAGAAATGTCTGATGCTAAGTAGACAACAAATTGTATAAAACTGTAGATAAAGGTATCTGTTCACATTCAAGATGACACTTTCTGTGGAATATATATGAACTATTTTAATGACAATATTCCTGTTAGAGTCTGTTAAGAATGGAAAAACTTCAATCTCTTTTTCCACCTTCTACATGGAATAATATAACAGAAAATGAAGGAAGAAACTTTGATTTAACCTTTAATAAATATTAAAGTTATATAATTCAGTATAATTATTTTTTACTTATAATTTATATAATTAAGTCTAATTATTTATCTGGCCAGTTTTAGTGTGTTCTGACTTCCTTGTGGATTAATAAAAAAGGCATTTTGTTATATGTAGGATTTTTTTTTCTCAAGTACATTAACAAAATATAACTGGAACTTTATCAAGGGGATAACAGTTGAGAAGCTGATTAAAAGGCTTCCAGTTTTCAGACTCATGCAAGGAATGAGCATCTTAAAAAATTCTCTAACAGCTGGATTTTATCTACAGAGAATTCCCAACTCAGATAGTACTTTTATAATATCTTCTCTTAAGGAAACATACCACTCTAAGGGCTGGCCTCTTTTGAACACTGAAGAAGTGGACTGCCTACCCATGCATTATATCCACATCACATCCAGACTGCAGCTTTCAGAAACAGGCAGGTGTTTGGTGTCTGGGTCTGTTGTCTGAGGGAATCTCTGGCAAAACTAAAGATTTCAGCACAGGCAAGGGAAGATAAGTACTGTATTTAGATGAGTTAGATGCTTTCACACTATGTGGAACAGTCTAAGAGATGTTAGTGCTTATCTGTGAGGACACAAGAACAAATGCAGCAGCTACCTTTAAAGAGAAAGATCTGCAAAATTATAGGCCAGTCAACTAAATTTCAACCACAGTAAACTACTGAAGAAAATAATCAAACAATTTGTAAGCACTTGCAAGAAAACAAGGTAGCAACAGACAACTTGGATTGCAGAAACAAACTGTGTCAAACCAATCTGATCTCCCTCTAAGACAGGGTAATTGGCTTTGTGGACCAGGAAAAAGCAGTAGGTGGTTTGACTTCACAAGTGTCTTGATACTCCCTCATGTGACATTCTTTATAATCTAAGGAAGCATAGTTTAGGTGAAATTGCTGCAGATTGAATGCCAAAATATTTGGAAAGCAAAACTGAGGATGAAATAAGTATCTGTGGAGAAAAAAATGGGCATGCATGGTGCTTCACAGAAGTCTGTCCTCATTCAACACTACTCAATATTTTCTTAATGACCTGGATGACGGAGCAGAGAACACCTTTATTAAATTTACATGTTAATGACATGCTGGGAGGAAATTTTGACAGGCTGGATTAAAGATTAGGAATCAAAATGTTTCTGTGCTTTGAACATACTGGCTGCAAACTTCTGGTGTTGCAAAAGTGAAGTAAAGGCAGGTCCCATACCAAGACATGTTAGTGGGAGTGATGCCTGCAGTGCATGTGAAATGCATCTTTTCTACTGAGCCCTGGAAAGACCTCTGCAGAGGAGGATGCCATGTCCACAGCTAGGTGCTAGACTGCATTAAAATCTAAACCAACTAGAGTTAAATAATTAGAATGGCTAAAGGCCTGGGAGTTAACTGAGGCTTATGAAGGCACCTGTAATGAACTGGTCATGTTTAATCTAAAGGAGGGAAGACCAAGTGGGATATGATGCCTGCTTTGAATATAGCTAATGAAAAGAGGACATAATTATTCTGTCCTTTATTCATTTTATAATGGGCCTAGTTATTTGGAAGGTTCAAATTAGATGTTGGGAAAAGCTATCTAACATGGTAGTGAAACACTGGCATAGATTATTGGTGGAATCTGTGGGTTTCTATGAATGTAGTTAGTACCAAATTAACTAAAAACTGGAATAGTTACTCCAGGTTGGACTGGATAATCTCTTGAACCATGATCTTCCACCCATAATTTTTTTTTATTCTACACCATTTCCCATCTATTTCTCAGGGAGAAAGCAAATCCAACAATTTCCAGCTATGTTACAACATAGTCACTGAACAGTTCAACTACTGAGCACTTCCACAGTGAAACTGAAGCCTCCAGGAAGCTCTAGAATGAGAGGGCACTCTGCATTTTTCAGCTCTGCATGAAAGGCATGCACAAAGTCAGAGTCACTATGTAGCATGTGCATAATATGATGGCTGAGTCTAGAAAGTGTTTGAGTCTCTGCACATGTTTTGTACTATGCATATATTTTTAAAGTAACTGGAATACTCAGAAGCTTGGCAACTTTCTTGTTAAAGGTCCAGAAATATTTAAACAAATGTAAGAAATTCTCATAATTAAGTTGGGCATAAAGGAATTTGGCTAGTGAAGTTTGGATTCATAGTTACCTTAAGTAAGGTAACAGCAATATATAAGGGATATTTAGAGGTTGGATTCTAACACACTGCTTGTGAGGGAGAAGTGAGCAATGGGGTCAAAGAGGCTGAAGAATCACCTTAAGACCTGACCAAAGACTGAGGGAGGATTCCATCTTTAACTCCCTACATTATTTCCAGCATACCCTCTGCTTTACAGTAGATTATGTTAAGCTGTAAATGTCCTGCTTAAAAAACAGTGATTGTTATCTATGGCATGAAATTGCATCAAAATACTCTCTATTTTCATCCAGTATAATTTCCACTCCAGAACTAGCCTTAAGGAGAGACAACGATTAGATTATGAATTAGATTCTAGATGACAGAATCAATTTGTACTTGCAATAGCTAGCTTTTCTCAATTTTGGACACGTATGTATGATATGAATTATATTTATGACTGTTGTGCATTTTCCATCCAAAGACAGAAGGAGGCACAGAAATTACAGAAACACTTGCTGTAAGTGCCTTTCTTTGTAAGTGGATATAGGAGACTTGCCAGAATGATGACTGTATGGAACTGTGATCTGTATCTGGCAGGAATATGTGTATGCACACTACAGCTAGTGGGATGAAGTGAATATGAGAAGGGAAAAGTGCTTCATAATACTTTATAAGAATAAACTGAAAACTGCAAAGGGCCTTATTTGTATTTCTTTTATACAAACTTTACATATTGCTTTCAACAGTGAAGTTAGTATTGACTGATAAATGCAGAGGTAAAGAATTAGTTAGGTCTGTAAGACTGAATTTTGTTCTTAAATTATCTAGGATATCCCTATGCTTGGGATGGTTGACTGGAGTTCTGTGTTAAAGGGCTTATGAGATCAGGGATGTTGTTTTCTGCATCCAGAAAGCTGCATAAAAGTGATAGGGTAACAAGGTATTTAGCATAAAATAAGGAAAGATAAAGAAACTAAGTGGAAATCTAGAAATTTTTTGATGGAACATTGCCCTGTATCAGAACAGAGTTGCTACTTGGTTTTACGGAGAGTCTGGACAAACAGCAAGGGTGAAATATGGACTTAATGGAAAGCAGAAGAAAATAAAGAACTTAAATTTCAGTAAGGAAAGCTAGGGTCAGGCATCAAGAAGACATTTAGAGCACTAAGTAGAGGTGCCTAGATTGCCTAGGGAGCCTCCATCACTGAAGATTTTAAAGAACAAGCTAGATGAACATCTGTCAAGAATGATACAGGGACAACTGATCCTGCCTAGTGGGTGGAGACAAAGTACATGACCTCTTCAGGTCCTTTCAAGTGCTATTTTTCTATGATTCTTGAAAAGGGAATCTAAGAGATAAGGAAACACAACAAATTAGAGAAGACACAGGCGAAATAGACAGCTATTAGAAGAAGGGCAGAAGAAATGAAACTAAAATGAGTGGTACAAAGA